CAACAGTTTCACAGACAGCAAAAGGAAAGCCACAAAATAATGTTTGCACCCACAGCCAAGCATGGGAGACCCAACTCAGCATCTAGTTAAAATGAAAATGAATAATACTACTTTGCACAGCTATAATATAGCATCTTTCACTGTAGCATATCAAAGAGCTCTACAGATACTAATTAAACCTTTGAGATATTATTATCCCCATTTTGAAGATGAGGAAACTCAGCCACAGGAAGGTTAAGTGAATAGACTGCTAGTTTCCACATTGGGAGTTGGAAGAGGAAAGTCTGCTTAGGAGGAACTTTTCTGATAAATTACTAGGATTAATTATTTGAGCCTTTGTCTTAGATCAGGACCCTATTGTGCTAGGTGTTGTGCAAACACAGAACAAAAGAAGACAATAATGCACCAGAGTATTCATTTTGGTTATCAGAGAAATGGAGGGGGAAGATGAGGACAGATTTTTCAAGAGTGCTCAACACCCAGCAGCATTCTGTGACATTTGGCCAGGTTTTCAACAGAATTCAGCACCCAACTTGCTGAATAAACACTGAAAATGTGGCCAAACTAGTCCTTTTTGTATTTTGTAAAACTGTAAAGATTTAATCAGTTTAAAAAGACAGGTTTCTAAATGAAGGACAAAAATAGTAACAGATGATAGCCACTATAAATGTTATCCACTTAATTTAAAAAAAAAAAAAAAGCAAAGTACTTTCATAATGAGATAAAGGTTTTACATTGGACCTGTGCATTTTGGGACTCTTCTGTTTAAAAAGGGTGGGGGGGAGAGATATGTACCATGTATGGGTAGAGTGTGATTTTCAAAGGGTCATAACTAGGTGAAACCTAAAACAATTTTCTTCAGAAGACTCAAGGCAGTTCCCTTCATTGAGGGTTACTTCCATGCAGCAGCTGTTACAGCAAGGACCACCTGGTGAGGTCATCAATCCTTTATTCTAGACAGTCACCCCCATGTGCTGACTGGCTGCTTGCTCCAATCCCTCCTGGCCCTACCTCCCTCACAGTCACTCCACTTCTGCCTGACTCTGCCTGCCCTCCATCCTTTCCTAATAATTTTTCCCCAGTCTCTTCTCCCCTCCCCAGCTGCCCGTTTACTAGTCCCCTAACAAACCTCCAAAAAGGATTTTTAAAAAGTTGTAGAATGAACATGACATTTGCCAGCATCACATTATTCATTCTACTCATATCCCTTTGCCACACCGGTGCTGACTTTTGTTTTTGCTGGTGGGTGCGCCTCTCTGCCCCCACCCCCACCCCCGATGCAAGCAGGGGGCGGAGCCAAGCGGGGGCAGGGGCCTTGGGGGGCAGGGACACGGTCCAGGATCCAGGACCCGCAAAAGATTAATTAGGCCCAGAGCGTGCTCGGCACCCCCCCTTTTTTTTTTTTCAGTGGATGCTTGAGCCCCTCGGAGTTGACAGCTATGCTTTGCCTGCCTCTCCTCCCCACCTTCTCTTTATCTTGTTTATTTAGATTTAAGCTCTTGGAGGCCAGGATTGTCTCTTAGGCCTGGTCTACATTTAAAAGTTAGGTCGACAGGGGTCAGGGGTATAAAATGTTGATCAGTGGTATGAAACAAACCACCCCCCGACTGACATAGTTACGTTGACCTAACCCCCAGGGTAAATGCAGCTATACTGATGGGAGAGTGCTTCCATCAACATAGCTGCTGTCACTCGGGGAGGTGGTGTTCTTATAGGGATGGCACAGCCTACTCCAATGGAAGGGAATTTTCTACATTATGGGGTTATGCCAGCATAACTTCAGTGACGCTGCTATGCCAGAACAGACATACTCTAACCCTCTCTTTGTATAGTGCCTAGCACAATGGGCCCTGATCTTGGCTGGTCTCTAGGCATTACTATAACATAAATCATACATTTCTGCTGAAGAGGTGTTTGAGATACATTGCAATAATTTCCCACTCCTTACATGCAAAATGTCTGAACAATTTTCACTCAAAATTAAACAAACAAATAAATAAAAAGCAACCTTCAGGCAGAGGCCAGGCCTGAAAAATGAAAATTTCAGAAAGTTACAAGCAAATGAAAATAGGGGGTTAGAATGGAAACATTCATGGCATCTTAACTACTTAATTGCTCGTGCCATCAGAGCCATGTGCAGGGACACTACAAAGGAGCTGCACAATGGCATATGCTACATGAATATAGCAAGTAAATGCTCTCTAGAATTATGGACACATTTCTATTAGCAACCATATGCGTATTATTTTCAATAATTCCCTGCTTGCAAGGTTTCAGGCCTGAAGGAGTATTTATAACACACAGCAGACCTAACAACTCCTTATAAATAGCAGCTAGGTTGGAAAAGGTTGATAGGCTTCTAACACCAGCAGAAGCCACTTCTCTTCTTACGACTGCAGACGGATTTCAAGCCACTAATGACACAGCTTGAATCATGACATTTTACTGGAATAAACAACAAATGGATGGTGAAAAGATTATATCCGCAAGGTGAACTCTCACAGCACAGCTCAGATAGGTTGCCCAACACATTCTACGGGAAGTTTGCGAAACACACTGTCTTTTCATTGAAATAATGGTCCCTAGGCATCTGTATCCTTTAATTATCTCAACTTGTATTAATATATCTCCACAGATCAGCAGCAAGAGTTATAATTGCAACTGGTAGTGAATCCTTTTTCTGCTTCAAACAATTCTAACTACACTCTTTTGAGCAAATCTATGCCCAAAAGAAATGAAGCTTGAAAGCTGAAGTTCAGCACAGGCTGGGGGTCAAAGCCATGACTGACAAAACAGGAAACAATTCTATTGACTTCATTAAGTCAATAGAGTTCTGTGGCTACTGATGCCAACAATTAATTTTGCCCAGGACATAGGCCTTGTCTACACTACGAGGGAAATTCGATTTAAGCTACGCAATTTGAGTTACGTGAATAGCGTAACTCAAATAGAAACAGCTTAGACCCACAGGGTCCACACTACATGATGTCAATGGGAGACGCTCTCCCGTCGACTCCTCCTACTCTTCTCGATCCAGTGGAGTACAGGAGTCGACGGGAGAGCGATCTGCGGTCCGTTTAGCGGGTCTTCACTAGAACCACTAAATCAATCGCTGATGCATCAATCGCCGCTTGTCAATCCCCCAGCAAGTGTAGACAAGCCCTTAGTGTCTTCACTTAATCTGAACAAAATGATTGCTTTTGATTTAACAGAGAGTTATGGACTCCTGAAAAGCACACACCTGACTGGGTCTGCATGTGGATTTATTATATTAAGAAATGCACACCTGATGGCAGATGCATGCACTGCTCAGAACTGTGCACTTTTGGAAGCTTGTTAAGAAGCAGTAATTGTGGCTTTGCCTGCAACCTCCCACCGCAATGGGGCTCTCCAGCCCCTTTTCTAGCTCCTGAAATTGTAGGGGGTGGGGGTTCCCCTCCTTGCAGCTGAAAGCGATCTATGGTCTAAACAGCATGAACTAATCTGTGGGCCTGATCCTGGACTCCTGACTCAGGCAAAGATCCCCATTGACGTCAATGGGAGTTTTGCTTTAGTAATGATTATGGGCCAGATCATGGCTTTTAAACCACAATCCACACTGGACATTGGGTGTGCTGCAGCAAGAATCCTCAGTGTGATTTATTCGGATCTCAAAAAACAGACCACAAAACAGATGGGTTGGACTGTAACTTTTCAGAGGTGGTTTGGGTCAATTATTATTTTAAACCAAACTGGATCACCAACATATCTATTCAATACATTCTGCCAAACCACCTATGGTCCAACCTCACTCCCTTTGAAGTCAGCAGGAGTTCCCCGCCCCCCGGCCCCTTGACTTAAATGGAAATGGATGAGGCCTTAAGAGACTGAAGAATCAGAGCACATGCAGGCGAGCATCTCTCATTGACACACCTATGGTGTTATTACTGTGTTTTATCTTGATCTTTGCAGGTGGTCTAAAGACTGCATTTAGTTTAGATTTCCTAACATTTTCCAGTAATCTCTTCCTTGGACACACAGAAACAAAGAACAATGGCTGTTGATGGGGTGAGTGGGGAGGATTTGAGGCACAGCTGTAGTAAAAACAGAGATGGCACGTAAACTATTGCTAATTTGCCTAATAGATAATCAGCACACATAGGCAAAGTTCTCTGTCCACTGTAATCCAGTTCTTTCCTACTTTATAAGCCTCCCTCCCCATCCCCTACTATCAGTCTACTATGTACCCAATGTGAGAAATAAAAAAAAAACATAAGCAAGGGAACTCAAGAAGCGTTTACGGTGTCGGTAGGGTTGAGTTTAAAAGCCAAACAAAGGATGTGGGTAAGATCAAGAGAGAGAAAGGTCCAAGACTCTGCAAGTGACACTATACTTCAGTGATTCTCAAACTTTTGTACTGGTGACCCCTTTCACATAGCAAGCCTCTGAGTGCAACCCCGCCTAATAAATTAAAAACACTTTTTTATATATTTAACACCATTATAAATGCTGGAGGCAAAGCGGGGTTTAGGTTTGGAGCGGGGTTTGAAGGCTGCCAGCTCGCAACCCCCCCATGTAATAACCTTGTGACCCCCCATTTGAGAACCCCTGCTATACTTCTTTCCTTTTAAAATCTGACCACCTTCAACATGTCTCACATGGAAACTTAATGGGGATGAAACCAGGAGGTATTAAATGAAATTTGATAGGGTTCCACAGAAATTACTCCAAAAACTAAAGACTTTAATAGGGAAATTTTAAAAAACAAAAATAAAAAAAAAAACCCTATAGAAAAGACAAAATTCTCACAAATTTGACAAGACTTTCTAATAAGTGTCTATTTTATTATTTTAATCTCAGTATCTGCCTCCACTCCAGTCTCTTAAAATGAAACACTAAGACATTTTGATTGAGGGGATACACTGGTGCTGAATTCCTGCTGGGAGAATCTACTCCTGGCGCAAATTTTTTGGCTGGCTTTCAGTGTTACATAGATCTCATATTAGTCTGAATACACTTACCAACAGAGTAACATTAGGAGGATCACCAGCAGAGCCACTGTTACTGTTGTTCCATTGATTTCCATGACGGGAAATTTCAAGAGATCTGCAAGCTCCATTTTCCTTCACTACACAATGCTGGCCTTGAGGTTGATGGGGAAGTCTCCTCAATAACAGATAAAACCTGCCAGTTACATGAATGACAGTCTGTAGTGAAACAGGAACCAAGGGAGCAAAGTCTGTCAAACCAGCTCTAATTGTGAACTTTTCCTGTTCTCACTGACGGCACCCTCAGAGAGAGGCAGAAGTTAAGGGTTTCCTGTGTAATGGAATTAAGCAACTTTTTTCCCCCCCTTGATGACTGTCGCATTAATAAATATTTACATAGCTGCTGCTTGAGACATCAGAGTTGGCCCACAGGTTTGCATGAGGAGGGGGAAAAAAAAATAAAAGAGGAAATATATCACGTGTATGTGGAATAGATTTGAAAAAAAAAAAAAACACCTCAATGTAGCCACTGTGCTCTGTAAATAGAAATAAAAATAGAAAAGTTTCTTTAAAATGTGAACAATCTGGCAACATACTGCTGATGCACGGGAAAGTTGCTCAGTAGGCAGCCCTGGAAATAGGCTGTCCATAGGAGAGGTGCAACCACAGCGCAAACATCCTCTAGTGTCCCTCTAACACGACTCTCCCCCGACTCGAACGACCATCTCAAGAAGCAAAAGGGTAATTCTGCTTCCCTGCCAGTTCAGTCCTTGGTATCTCAGATTAGACAGCAAGCAGAGTTGAAACTAGGGTGTTATACCAATAAAATAAAAACCAGCAGGATCTTATTAAAGGGGAAAAGGTAAAATACCACATTTATTGTGAATACAGAAAGAATCATAGTAAGCAGTTAGTTATAGCTATAACATTCCATTCAATCTCATATTTATTCACACATTCATTCATACAAACACACACATACAGGTTCTGCAAGGTTGTTATCATAGTTACCAGCCTTAGAATTGCTCATGCCAAGCCACTGGCCAGGTGGCCTGGACAGGAGGAGGGAGCAGGGCCTTGTCAGATGCACATCTGAGGCTCCTGGAAGTTGGTTTGCAGAATCAGACCCCAAAGTTCTCACTTTCTAGAGTCCATTTTTATAGGAATTTCTTCCTATGCCAGTCTATGGGAATTGCTTCATCATGCTGTTGCTGAATCAATCAACAGATGGCACATTCCTGACGGCTCCGTGCTGCCAGAAGTTATCTTGTTCTTTGGTTCTCCCATTGTTGAGGCTATTGGGTGGATTCCAGTCTGCCCTCCGGGGGTCCTCTGGTTATTTCCACTTGACGCCTTCTTCAGCCAATGGACACTGGATTCTTAGGCTGGCACCTCCCTGACCATTATTATCCACATACATCCTCTATCTCTATTTTAATCACAATTGTTAATACAACAAAAGGGCGGGGAGTCTCTGGGTGCGGTTTCTGTTGTTACAGAGTATTGCTTTGAGTGTCTCTCTGTGTGAATTGCTTTGAGAACAGACTCTGTCTTAGAATGTACTAACGCAATTAGCAGCTTGCAAGTTTCACACATAGAGGGAGAGAAACAGTACCAAAAACCAAGAGACCTCTTAATTAGTAATACCCTGGAATTTAAACTATGGGGAATCAAACTCATTTGTGATTTTAATACAGAACTTCTTTAATATGATCCAACAAGGGGGCCTCTCTATGATGGGCACACAGCTACTTATATATAAGCTATCAAATGCTAGTGAATTTCAAATCACAAATGGTTGAGCCATAGTTAAAAGTGACTTTCAAGTGAGATACATCCTCCACCACCCATGAAATTCCTGGTTGCTAGGGCCATCCAACATAGTTTGTTGTTATTTAAAGAAAAAAATAGATATTGCACACAACCTATTTGAAAGTTATGCAAATTAAACTATTCCCAAAGAGAACTAGGTTTATAAATATCTAGTAACCTTAAGAATTAGACATTCTGCTCATCGGATTCCCATAACATACAAGATGAAAAGTAGTTTCTTCTTATTCAGCCCCTGAGATAACAGCTTAGATGTAATGTGCGAGGCTTCTCCAATATCACTGTATTACATTTCCCTCTCTTATCAGAGAGGTTAATAATATAGGTATCAAAAAAGTAAAAATCTCTAACACAATAGAGTTTAATTTTAAGAAGATTTGGCTCGACTATAACTGAATCACTGCTATTTTAGTTCTCGGTGCTTCACAAGTACATTCATTCCTTTCCAGCGCTGGAGCCTCACAAAATAAGTAAAAGGTGTTAACCAGCTCATCAGCTCTCACAGAGTAGCACAGTAATTCACAGAAAACTTTGCTTATTGTATTAATAATGCCATTGCTTCCAGATGCTACTCTGGGTCAATAGCAGCTCTGCTGGTTTGCTGTTGCCAAGTTGTCCGAGAACAGTTGCATCACAATTCAAGACTGGCAACGTAAAGGATTAATCACTGAGCACATACTGATCCCAAATAGCACTGATCTCGCTGGACCTTAGTTTATATGGAATATTTCTTAAAAGCTTCTTGAAAAGGGAGGACGATTAGTCACAAATCTTGAGAGTGAGACATTAGATATTTTGACTTTGACTTCTTTGTTAAAGAGAGCATACAGTTGCCCAGAGTAGGCCTGATGCTTCTCCCACTGAAGGCAACAGCAAAACTCATGTTGAGTTCAGTCAATACAGAGTTGGACCCAGATCTTGCTTGATTATTTTTAGAAGCTCAATGGAACTTTCCAGGATCATGCTGGAGAAGGATAGGATGTACGGGTCTTAAACACACACATAATGAAGGAAAATGGATTTTCAAATCAGCATCCCATTTGGAACAGAGTGAATAAACGAGTAGTTTGACTGTTGTTGGGCACCGCATTTTTACACCTCTGCACCCGTTTCTTGCTAAAGTTTTTAACTTGGCATCTTCACCCAGATAGAGGGGAAATCATACAACAATCCCAACACTCACCTGGAACATGCCTCACGTGCCCATTCGCTACGAGGTATTTACAGTGATACCACAGTCAAGTGCCTAATTTCCCAAAAGAGACTTTGTCTCAAAGATCCAGCTGATGCCTTGTGGAAAACTTTGAGAAACATTCTATTTATTGGGCCTGTTTTCAGTATTTCTCTTCCCTCAACTCTTCATTACAAGAGTCATTTGCATGAGAAACATCATCTTTATTGGAGAGTTAATAGGAGACGTTTTTTCCCCCCATCTCTACTCCCAATCCTCTGCTGAGACACACCACATCTGGTTGGTATGAAAAGTACTATGATGTCAGTCAGGAGTATGTGACTTCATAGAGGGGCAAGTTCCATTCCTCTCAGTCAAATGCCTGAGAAGGCTGAGGGGAAGTAGAAGGGGGAAGGAAGGCAGAGCTACTCAGGGGCTGCTTATTGCAAGGTCAGGGCACAGAAGGGCTCCACTCAGGTTGCAGTTCCTGTATTCAGGGACAGGCAGGGGAAGTAGACCCACAAGGATCACAATCCATTGACATTTATACTGTGCTCATCACAAAGGCATCTTGTTCCATCCCACATTCCCCTCCACAGCAGGGAGAACCCACAGAGCTCAGATCCGTTCCACACAAACCTATGCTTGAGTGCTTCATATCCAGACCCTTCTCACTCTCAACGTGCAGCAGAATCGCATAGTTAGAGGAACCCAGCGGCAGCAGAACTGAAGTAGAGGAAAGGGCAGGATTTGGCCTGAACTGCAGAAGCAGCTGAAATCTTACAGAGCAAGAGAGTCAGTTTACATATATGTGTTTAAAATGAAAAAGAAAAGAAAAAACAAGGAAGTACAGAAATTGCTTGACAAATACTAGAAATTGAACTGTTCCTCAGCTAAAAAATAGTCTAAAGTTTTCCAGGAAGAGTTAATGATTTTAAAGCGTTGTCTACATGACCAGGAATAGTTTTTGAACACAGTTGCAACAGAACTAGTTTCTAAACTGGAATGCAGCATAAATATTCTACCATGATGAAAACCTTCAAAATGCTTGCCATAGATTGGTGTAGTGATGACACAGAAAATATGGAACAACAATATTATAGATCTCAAGACATAGGCCAGAGAATCCCTGGCCTAATTTAGGCCTAAGCTTTTAAAACATATCAAACAGCACATACTGTTTCTGTTTTTCATAGGCAGGATACTGTATGTAGGTTGAGTAAAAGCTAAACTAGCTTGGTTTAACCATAAACTCTTGCTAAGTTATGAAGTAAATTCCTTCTTTCTATTTTATATGCTTTATGCCTATACATTTGTAATGGACACTGTAGAACTATGTTATTTTATATAAATTCAGAAGGTATAATTTTGTTGCTAGATATAGGAAATCTAAAAAGGTGTCAACTAACATTTAAAAAGCTTCATTATCTGAGATAACTATCTAAAGCATTCTTTAATAGACCCCTTCAGTTCAAGGAAATTTTGTAGCATATGCAACCTGACCACAAACCAGTGCAAATAGTTCAGCCCATGAAGTTTATTTTAAATAGAAATGTGATCAATAAGATATATACAACTAATCTAACAAAAAGGTGTTTGTGTAGAATACAAAACAAGTACCTAATATATAAAGAAGCTGATGTAGTCAAGTGGAATATTGAGATGCTAATGTGAAGTGCAAATCTTTAAGATGAACCAACCAAAATGTTCTAAGATCATAAAGCTTGATCAACAGTGTGCTTGGAAGTTGCACAGAGAGTTTCACACTTGAAGCCATCCCACTAACTTTATCACTGAGGTGCTGGGATTATTCAAGTACTGGCAGAGAAGTGTGTGTTTCATATTATTGCATTAATTGTTATCTCCCATTGGTGACTGACCAAGGAAATGAATTTTTGTTTAGTTGTTCATCATACAGCAATATAGACAGGACCATCCACGGCTGTAAAGAGACTTAACATCAAAACTCTTCTTAACTTCAAAATGGACATTTCTGCAAACTGCTAAAAGCACTGTTGGAAAGGTCATAGAGTTATGCAAAGTCAACCAGACGACCACACTGTACAGGGTCCCACAGAAAAGTAATTTGCAGAGGTAGGTCGCTGGCTGGAGCTGAGCCAGCACGCGTTCACCATATGACCCAACATGGCTTACACAAACTGGGATGGCACAAGATATCTTGCACAAAGAACCTGGAATTTTGCAGACAATTTAATAAAAGTCATAAAGGGGAGTCCTTGTTTTCTCATTGGATGATGGGAAGGAACACAATTTGTGTTCTGGTGGAACATGTAAAAAATCTTTGCCAGAAACATAGGTCACTTTCTGATTGCCATGACCACCCCCCACCCCCTAACAACCCTCCCTACGCAGGGCCATCCCTAGCCATTTTGGTGCCCTACACAGCCCCCCCACAGGGAGGAGAGGGGCTGGCCCCAGGCCTCTTCAGGGGGCAGAAGCAGGCTTGGGGGGCCGGGGGAAACCACCCCCCAGCATAAGCCGGTGGAGCGGAGCGTGTTGGGGCCGGGCCAGGCCGCTCCATTTCCTGCCACCCGGTGAGTGCAGGGCAGGCCCGACCAGGGGCAGGAGCTTTGGGGAAGGGGTGGAGAAGGGTGGGGAGTTGGGGCGGCGCTGAGGTGGGGGCCATGGGGAAGAGGCAGAGCAGGTGCTGGAGCAGCACGCAGCTGCGTAGGATACCAGGAAATTTGGTGCCCCAAATTTTCAGGTGCCCTATGCAGCTGCATACTTTGCATATGGGTAAGGACGGCCCTGCCCCCATGCCCAGTGAGCTTTTCCACGAAAGGCCATGCCACCCAGCAGAAAATGTAAAAAATGCCCTTTGTTGTTCAACATGTTGCTTCCTGAAGCTGAAATATACAGAAGAGAGAGAGAGCGTGAGTGAGACTGCCATTGCCGGCGCAGCAAGAGCTCTCTCTGCTCCATAACAACTGAAGTCTTGTAGCTAACAAGCACCCTATTAACTCTGGGCTTTTCTACATAAACACTTGGTTTGCAGCACGCTGGGGTGTAAATCTACCCTCCATTAGCCTGCCACATACCTGACACACACAACACTTTGAAATAGGAGTAGATCAAAGCACACTAAGGAACTTTCAGTGCCCAACAGCAGAGTATGCACGGACATTTAGTGCACCCCAGGCTAGTGCAGGGTAGTTTTACACTCCAGCTTGCCAGGAACTAAGTGTTCAACAAGAGCCTCTACCTAGAGAGAGGGCTGAAAAATTCAGAACAAGAATAGAAATACATCTGTCATACCACTTACTTCAGTATAACTTACATCACTCTGGGGTGCAAATAAGCCACCTTCCTGAGCGACACAAGTTACACCAACCTAAGCGTTAGTGTGGACAGCGCTATGTTGGTGGGAGAGCTTCTCCCACTGACATAGATACCGCCTCTCATGAAGGTGGATTTATTATGCCAGTGGGAGAGCTCTCTCCCATCTTAAAGTTCATTCAGGTGATTCACTCAATCTTGAGAAACCAGTCACTGCAATTGTGAAGCTGAGCTGGAGAAGCCACTTTCACGCCACTTTCAAAAGTCACTTTTATACATGAATTGTTTACCCAAGTGGTGACCTGCTCACGTTAAACCAAATGCTCCTCAGAAAGTACATATCAGAGTTAAAGCCTTTCGAATGACTAAAGTGTATAATGTGTGCTTATACTTCACTAACAGATTTAGTCTTAGTTGTCTAGAACTTACACTGAATCACTAAGAGAGCCAAGGTGGGTGAGGTAATGTATTGGACAACTTCTGCTGGTGGAAGGGACAGGCTTTTGAGGTTCATAGAGCTCTTCTTCAGATCTGGAGAAGGTAATCAGGGTGTCATATCTATGGTGGGACAAGATAATTAAGCACAAGAGGTTCCCACAAGTTGTAGGACACTACTTAAAATGAAGTGGGCCATAACACCTCTGCAGTAGTAGGACAAAGAAGAGTTAGTAGTCAGCATGGTGTGTTACAAATTGTTGGAATGAGCCATAAAACTAGTGTCTCTGTAAAGTCCATGGCTTTTTAAAGTATCCAGTGGAGTTATGAATTTAAGTTCTCAGGCTTGCCTTTTGAAGATGCTGTGCAGGTTTCCTTTGAGGATGAGGACTGAGAAGTTAGATATGGAGTGATCACTTTGAGAAAAGTGTTCACCCATGGGCGAGAGTGTGGTTTTGTCCTTTATCATTTTTCTGTGTGAGCAATCCATATAGTGTTATTGGGGCATTTGATACACGGAATGAGATAAGCACATGTTGTGATAGGCATGTGCAAGCCCCATGGATTCAGATAGGTGTGTTGTGAGGGGCAATTGATCATCACAACAGTGGAGATACGTCTAGCAGTTTTTGCTTTGGCAGAGTCTGGTGCTGCTTTGAGTTGATGTGTCCTGGTCTGTGGGGAGCTTGCTTCTGACCAAGAGCTTAACAAGGTTGGGACCTGGCTGTAGGTAACAGATTTCCTGGTGTGTCTGGGGTGGTTACTAGATCTGTGGACGTAGGTGTGGTGATCCATTGGTTTCTTGTAATAGTTGTCTGTAGGATTCCATTATTGAAGCTGATCATGGTGTTCAGGAACCACTCAATCACTAACTCCAATGAAGGCACAGAGTCTGGAGAAACTAACTGTATTAACTAAGCCTAGTACTATTTGAAAGAGGAAACTGCTTCCCTACAAACAAGTTAGCTGTGAGAAATCGTGATTATTTCAGAGAGTTCATACCAGAAGCCGTATAGATTTTGTGGCCAAGAGAACGAACGGTGTCTTACACAGAAAGAGGAAGAAACTTTGAATTGGTTTGCAAACTAAAGATCTTACCACTATTTGAACCTTTGGTTAAAGTAATTTAAGAGCTTACAGTACTGGTGAAATTCCAGAGAAATTAGAATAGCCTCACAATAATTACCTGTATATTATATTTGGTTTAATGTGTGATAGTTTTGAGCATGTATGAGTTGATAAGGTAGGTTTGAACTCAGTTGACATTCTTCAATAATTAAGTAAGTTGCCTACATTTCTAAAGTCCTACTTTAGAATTGTTGAACTGACAAAAGCAGTGTCCCATAAACTTGACTAGAGATACATAAGGATCTATAGTTTCATGTTGATACCAAAAATCACCTGCCCAGACTAATATAGAACTAGGATAAAAAAGTTTGCCTTTGTAACAAGATTGTGATAAGACCCTGAATTAACTGAACTGATTTATAACTCTTGTGGCAACATCCCATGTTGAGGTTAATTTTTGACAGAGATGATATTATTCACAATCTTTATTCTGCTGTCTATAGTAAAACCTATAAATTTGTAAGAATTTTCCTGTCTGTACTTCAGCTGAGGAACACAGATCTAAAGAACAGAAAGAAAACCTATGAATCCTTACCTCTGTTTGTGTTTACTAACCTATCTTTCTCACACTGGCAACCCATGTAAAACCTGTGTTTAAAAAAAATAAAAAAGCACACACACACACACACACACAGATCCCAACACCCTTGCTCATGTTGACTAGTGTCTTATAATGGGACAAGTCTCACTGGAGTAAATTGAGTTACTAAAGGAGTAAGGCCAGGATCCAGAAAGGAACCTACGCGTCACAGTGCCTAAGTTTTAGGCACCCAGAAAATGATAGGAACAACACTGTGACACACAAAGCCTGAGTTAAGCACCTAGGCTCCCTATACAATGACAGGGGGAAAAAAGATGCCTTAGAATGTGATCCACAAAAAACAGCATGCTAGGCAGGGAGCCACCTAAGCTGGCCAAT